AAATATGGAGTGCCCCTTATTTAAACTTATAGCATGCCACATGTGCAATCACGCAAAACGGATACAGTACGGGAACGAAATAGACGTCTCCTCTATAGGTCACGGCCAGTGTTATAAACCTCCCATTGACAAGCTACAGAAATTACTAGTGTTTAACCCCCACTAGTAGGGTTACAGAAACGAACCAGTTCTATCAGTAACATGTCGACATGTGCTAGCGTTTATAAACCTCCCACTAGCGGGCACACGAATAACATGACCATATCAGAGACAAAACAGGCAGAAGTTAACAGAAAAATCACGATTCACAATCACTTTCAAATCATCAGGATAGTCATTTAAACTTTCAAGTAGGCATGCTCAATTTAATGAAAAGCATAAAACATTTCACTTCAAATCAGTTATGCTTGTGTAAAATGGGTTTAGTCCCGCCACCACTTCAAAAACAAATCAAAACATGCTTTTAAAACAATACGGGCATTACCATAAATTTACTTACCTCACTCGCATAAAACCGAGCACTCAATCTCAATGCTAACTGACAGAACGATCGGGATCCTAATCAAAACACCTCAGAATTAATATCGGACTATCACACATTCAAACTGAAATCATCATTAAGATCACTCCTAATCCCGATGCTATTCCTATCAATCTCCACATAATCAAATATCTCCAAATTCGTTCTTATATCACAAACTAATCATTTAAATCCCCGTTAAATGTTGGCCCTCGGGGTGTGAACAGTAACCGGTGAACAGTACCCCGACGTGAACAGTAACTCCACTCCCACAAATTGGCCAAAACACTAGCTAATCTTACGGTATTTTCTCTCCAAAAATCACAACAACCAACTAACACTCAATCACATAAATCTCACTAGAATTAAGCAACAAAACACACTTAAATCCCTCTTAATTGCTACCGGAATTTCCCCCATATCCTAGCCAAATTTGGACATTACAAGCAGCAACTTTAAATGGATAATTTAAGCCTTAAATGGCTGTCACATACCAGAATTTTCCAGCTAAAACCGGAGCTGCAGGGGGGAAGAGGCCGGCGGCAAATCTGCAGGGAACTCACGGGTTTCCCAAAAATTGGAGGAACAAAAGCAATTAAGGTTAACCCAAGCCAATTCAAGGAAAAACAAAGGGATTTAATGGCTGTTTCGTACCCAAAACCCAAGCAATTCGCCCCCCACAAGCAGGAGCAGCCGGCGGTGAGGAGCAGAGCAAGGCAGATCCGAAAGCTTTATGCAGGGGGGAGAATTTCTGGGTTCCAATTCAGGTTCTAGAGCAAGAAGGAAGGAGAAACCTCCAAGCTTTCTCACCAATTTTCCAAGGCATGGCTGGGTTCCTCTTTTTCTTTGGCTGCAGCGGGAAGAAAGGAGAAGAAGAGCAGAATCGGGCAAGGCTGGGAAGAAAAGAAAGAAAGAAAAAGAAAAAGAAAAGAAACTCATCCTTATCCAAAACTCTTCCCTCTT